ATTTAAAATGCAGATGAGACCAAAATGGTCTGTGCAAAAATGGATTTAAACATTTGAGGAGAAAAATCAATCTCTCCTGCCACAGACTGTATTGTCCTTTTGTTTTTGCTTGCCACAGCCATGTACTGGTATGAATGAAACAAGTATTTTATTTAGAATGCCCGAAGACAATGTTTTAATGATAATAGTGAGTTAGAAAATGGCGATTATTTGGATAATGTTATGCTGACTAATATAGTTCATATAGTCTGCTGTTACAGTGTTTTATAATATAACAAAAGTTGTTGTTTTTTGGTCTCGTAACATCTGGAATTTTGATTTAGTGCTTACATCAAGTCATGGGACAGCATTTCATGGGTCTAGATTAGAGGTTGGTTTGAAATGGAGTTTAACCCTACAAAACGAAACTAAACTAAACTAAAAACAGTCTAGCTGTTCTACTGCTGTTCAAAAGTTTGGGGTTGATGGTAAAATGTTTTTAAAAACATTTTAATATTGTGCAATATTGTTAAAATGTAAAATTGCTGTCTTCTATTTGAATATATTTTAAAATGTATTCCTGTGATGGCTGAAAGCCGAATTTTCAGCATCATTACTCCAGTCTTCAATGTCAGATGATCCTTCAGAAATCATTCTAATATGCTGATTTGGTGCTCAAGAAACATTTATTATTGATATCAATGTTGAACACTTCTACTAGAAATTTATTTGAAATTAAATGCTATGCTGTATGACCTTGCAGGAAATCCTCAAATACAGCATTTTTCACTGTAACATATGAACTAATTGTTTTCACATTTAGTTTGCAATTTTTAATATTAAAATGGAGTTTGTATTAATAACATGTTTTCCATATGCAGTCTTTTTTATTTCTTTTTCCATCTGTTATCTTTAAGGATTGATAGGCAATGTTAAAGAACGTGTTTGTTCAGATTTATAGTTAGTAAGAAAGTAAACATCAGGCTGTCATTTAGCAGATGCTTTCATCCAAAGTGATTTTCAGTACACTAATTACAGTGACAGGCCCCCTGGAGCAACCTCAGGTTAGGCACACACACACACACACACACACACACACACACACACACACACACACACTAAATTACATGCAAACATTGAATAAACAAGTAGTTTTATAAAGAATATGCTTCTAATTGTATCCCACATAAGCAGTTTAGGGGGTAAAGTAAGTGTTTTGAGTATAGAATGTGCCATCACATTTATCTATAGCCCATGTGGTTTGTGTACTCGTACAGATGAGAGAATTCAATGTTGCTTCTGATGAAAAGAAAAGGTTATATTGTGGTACTGCATACAGAGAATTTGAACCCCCTGGAGCACCCTCAGGTTAGGCACACACACACACACACACACACACACACACACACACACACACACACACACACTAAATTACATGCAAACATTGAATAAACAAGTAGTTTTATAAAGAATATGCTTCTAATTGTATCCCACATAAGCAGTTTAGGGGGTAAAGTAAGTGTTTTGAGTATAGAATGTGCCATCACATTTATCTATAGCCCATGTGGTTTGTGTACTCGTACAGATGAGAGAATTCAATGTTGCTTCTGATGAAAAGAAAAGGTTATATTGTGGTACTGCATACAGAGAATTTGAAGCAGAGTGTTTTTATCTCTAATAGTGGAAGTTGGTGCACATGCACTGCTGAAACAAGACATAAATGACTTAACATGCAGCTGCAAGCCCTCCCTTTTCCCTTTTCAGTAAAGTGTCAACAGTATTAATTGGTGAGGACAACAGGATTACACAATGGGCGAGCTCAAACAGGTTGCTGTTGCAAAAAACCTTTTGCAAAGCCAGTCAAATAAAGGTCAGAACAGTGGCTTTAGGTCTGTTTCTTTAAACATCAGACTTTGTTGTTGTTGTAAAAGTAAAACTGACAAATTATTTTCAACAAGAGATGGACTCTGGTTGAATTGGTATCTTTTATTTCCTACATAGTTGTGTTTCTGTTGCTGGAGTCACCCAGCACTTCCAGAAACTCTGCTGGCTCATTCTTAGAACATGGTGCCATTTGTGATTTAAGCTAATGATAGTTGTTTTCATAATTAATGCTATTCCTTAAGCACTACAGTAAAGTCTAGTAGTATAATGGCTTTGGCATGTCTGTTACTTTCATGGTTGAAGGTATGGCAACATTTACTAGTAATGACCTTAATAAGGAAGTATCATCTTACCACATTTATGTAAACCTGTAACTGTCATTCTTTTTTCCTCAAAATTGCAATAATTGCAATACCGAGCTTGACCAGGCTGGCAAAAAATGTAAATAAACTTTTAAAGGCTGTAAGACAAACATCTGTTTTGAAGTAGGAGACAAATTATGCATTTTCTTACAAAGAAAGAATTGTATTTATGTCTACGGTTAGTGGAAACATGATTTACATTTTTTAAATAAATGCTAAATTAGGTACACCAGTGTTCAAAAGTTTGGGGTCAGTAAGATTTTTTAATTGATACTTTTATTCAATAACGATGCATTTAATTGGTCAAAAGTAAAGACAGTAAAGACAAATAATGTTACAATATAACTTTCTTTTTCAAATAAATGCATTCGTTTCAAATTACATGTGAAAATATATTATAATAGAAAACAGTTATTTTACATTGGTATTTCACAATATTACAGTTTTTACTGTATTTTTTATCAAATAAATGTAGCCTCGAGGACATGGAACAACATGAAGACTTTACTGACCTCAAACTTATGAACAATAGTGTATGTATTTGTTCAGGATCTAATTAGATGTTTCCTGTTAATTATATCAATAGTAAGTAATGCCGACACAAATTGATGTTTGCTGTTTCCTGAGACTGAGCCTGCTTTGAAGCACACAAGATTAGGATTAGTATGTCCAAAACAACAATATTGTAAAAATACTATGTCAAAGCTGCATGATTGCCATACAATTTCGGGGTTTGTGTGTGTGTGTGTGTGTGTGTGTGTGTGTGTGTGTTTTCATGCTTTTGAGCTAATATTGCCCACAACCGCTTGTATTAGAGTAGGGAACACACAGATGTATTTTAAATGGTCTCATCATGATCATACATACTGAAAAAATACTTTTCCATTTAAGTATGTGCAGTTTGTAATTAGTGGAAGTAGGTGAATTAGGATTCAGCCCTTCTAATTTGTAAGCTTGGCAGATTTGGCTTCTCAGTGCTTTAACTTGTTCATTTTTATGAAGAGTCAGGGAATCATGAATAAGCATTAAAGACATATTTCACCCAAATATGAAAATTCTGTCATCATTTACTCAACCTCAAGTTCTTCCAAAGCTGTATGAATTTCCGTCTTCTGTTGAACATAAAAGATGTTTTAAAGAATACAGCTGATGTCCCTCATTGACTTCCATGACATGGAAAAATACTCTAGAAGTAAATGGGGACCATCAGCTGTTTGGATACATTCTTTGAAATATCTTCTTTTGTGTTCAGCAGAAAAAAGAAAGTCACACAGGTTTGGAACAAGTGGAGGATGAGTAAATGATGACAGAATTTTCATTTTTGGGTGAACTATCCCTTTAACAGATCTTCAGTTTGTGTATTTATTGCCAGTCTTTTCACAGAGAAACAAAGTGCTGATAGTTTACATTATAGCTCTGATCAGGGGAGTTAAAGGTAGTTAAGGATTTAAATTAAAGGCAAAACATACAGCTGTTTACTCTTTTCTTTTCATTTTTGGTGCTTGGACACTTTATCAACTGTTTTTGGACAGTGAGCAAGTAGGAAAGGGTGGTTTCAGGGGGAGGATTTCTGTTTTTCTTTCTTTAACTCTTTGTTTTGGATGAAGTGATAAGGATCAGTACAGAGTAACATTAGTCACCTATTGCTCCATCTGTTAGCTCCGCAGAGTCACCTTGGTAAATCACATTGTTACTCATACCGAACATTTACCTGTCGTTAAATCAGGTTTAACTGGAGTATGAATCATCATTTAATGGGAAAATCATATATGAATAATATTAGCATTTGTCGCCTCGCCATAGATCACGCCATAGGCCCGCTGCTATTCTGCTTTTGGCCACTAGATGGCAATATTTGTCCATCACTAAACATGAACTCCATGAAGAGGAGCTGTCGTTTTCAAAAACAGCAAGGCAGTCATAATAGAGATTATAGTCTATTAATCTGTCTTTAGCTTCTAGTGACACTCCTATACAAAGTCCATTAAGGCTGGACATTGTCCAAATAGGGTTTTAGGTCATAAGGAAGTTCATTTCTGTTTACAGAACCTAACTTTGACCTTGCTTTACCTCAAACTGCAACTAATAAAAACACTCTCGGCTGTACATAATTGTTTTATGATTTGTACTTTCACAATCCAGAATTTTTGAACAAGTCTAAATAATTAACCTACTATTTTAGGTCTGTTCATTTTGAGTGGTGGATGATATTGTCAGGAGAGATACTTTGTTGTATGTTATATAGATAACTATATAACATACAACAAAGTATCTCTCCTGACAATATAAATAACTATATAAATAGTTTTAGGAACATTGACATAAATAGGACAAAATTCAGATGTTCCATTAGATTACAGTTATTTCTATGCATAATGGGGACTTTATAATTTTTAAATGACACTAAGTAAGCATTTCGAGGGAGATCAATATGTAAAAATTTTAGGTGAATCAGTCTATGGCAGCTGTATGGCAGGGCAGGAATGTGCTCTTGACATTGGGAGGTTTATTTGTGCTGTGTTCATGGTTGGAAAATGGATTGTTATTATTACACTCTGCATCAACAACACTGTGACCCAGATATGAGATATGAGTGTGGAAGTGAATTAGTGTTCATTATACATAAACTTAAGCTTGACCTTTTTCCTGGCAGAGGAATTATGAGGTTATAAATGTTTCAAATAATATTCAATACAAATATTTTGCCCTGAATTCCTCGTAATGAAACACTCGTGACACTCGTTGATTAATTACTGCACAAAAATGCAGGTTTGCCTTTATTTATTTTCAAACACAATAAAAACTAAATAGGAATTATTCACATTGTTGCCTGGATCAATTCTGTCAAAACAAATGAACAGAAAAACATCCCTGGAACTCTAACATAATTACTCAAAAAACACCTACAGTTATTTTTTTCCTTCATAAATAGGCGCAAACAAGTACCATAAAAAGATCTCATATAGACACAGTGTAGAGGAATAGTAAATGATCAGCCATATGCCAGGGTTATACAGCAACTCTCCAATCTGCCACTGTTTCTTCTAATTAACACCATATAAGCATCTGACAGTTTCATACACATAGTTTGGATGACATTAATCAATATGCCAGAAGTGATACAAAAGAAGTATTTTGCGTAATACAAAATAAACTTTTCTTTAGTACTTTCCTTAATGAATCATTTCATGCTACCTCGCTGGTTGATGCCATCAACCTTTACGTTCTTAAACTTGGGAAAAGAATACTTTTGTAGTCTCTTTTGTCGGTCTAATCAACAGCGACTTCCGCTGCCAAGAACTTAGCCCTCTTGGCTAATTCTCCCTTTTCGAGTTTTAAACGAACTGGTGTGGTCCAATTCAAAATCACATTGTTACTAGAAAAAAAAGTTGAATTCTTATACTCTAGGAGTAACACAGATTCTATTTACAGCTTGAAACGAGGGCTGCGTGAAACAACCCGTCCGGCCGTTCATAACGTTCCTATGAGCGACTGTTTTATACTTACAACAGAACTCTGTTTCTAAGGCAGTTGACTAGAAAAGATCATTACAGAGAGGAAGAATGATACGACGAGAAAGAGGAGTGGGGTGAGACGCAGGATTCATATCATCTGCATTATTTTTTTGTGGCTTTTTGTTTTTCTTTTCTTTTTGCGGATTGTGATTTTCCTCTTTGTACAAGTTCTGTTTTGGTTTTCGTTCTGCCGTTTGTCAGCGAGAGCTTGGAGTCTCCGACACGCAGCGGTAAGTGCTTAGAAACCGATGGATTGACACAACCTTCCTGCGAGGCAAATTGACCTACGCAACGTCTTAAAAACCATGAGCAATCTCCAATAAAGCACACGTCTACAGGGGGTTTCCATACACGGCCTCTTATTAGGTACGCAACGAGGACGCGGAACAATAGAAGGGCGTTAAAAGTCAATATCATTAGAGAGGTGATTGCATTTAAACAAATTTTAGCATACAATTTACATGTTCATGCTTTCAATGATTTAAACTATTTTAAAGATCCAAAATGTCTGAATGTCAGAAGCTAGAAGGAGATACAAATTCCAAAGCCACCACGGTAGGGTGCACTAAAGTGTGAGCCATGAGAAAGAAAACATTCAAACGTTGGTTTGCTGATGCGTGGATTGTGTCTAGTCTAAAATAAGGCCTGAACAATCAGGCCCTGAATAGCTGTACTGGGATGAGGAACTGCCTTGGTCCTGTGAGCGTGAAGGAGCGTGCGGTTGGACATGTCGATCAGGTCAGGTACAGGGCTTTGTCCCTCTGCAGATTTCTGTGGAGGGAAATACGAACAAGTCAAAATGGCTGTCGCAGAAATTAGCTTTTTTTCCTGAATGATGGTGATTGATCTCGCTAGTGTCCGCTCACCCATTGCCGCAGTAGTCAGGGGTCCAGTCCAGGCCCTGGGTCGGTCCATTCCTGCAGCCGGTGCGGTAGTCCATTGAAGGGGACAGGCCAGGTCCGGCAGAGGATGTGACATTTACCATGCTCTGATACTCTGCCTGAAGGGGGAAACCCTGAGAGGGAGAGCAGAACACAATAGCAGATTACATATTAGATCGTACATGCTGCAGGTCCCACAAAGTCAAGGCCTATAGTGCAGAGGTATGAGAGCCTCTATAATGATAATCATTAATATGCCAGAATAAAGTATTGCAGCACATATGCTGCATTTATTTTCACAAAAAATACACTAAGACAGTAATATTGTGAAATATTATTACAATTTAAACTGTTTTCTATTTGAATATATTTTGAAATTTAATTTATTCCTGTGATGTAAAGCTGAATTTTCAGCATCATTACTCCAGTCTTCAGTGTCACATGATCCTTCAGAAATCATTCTGATATGTTGATTTGCTGCTCAAGAAACATGTCTTATTATTACTAATGTTGAAAAAAGTTGCGCTGCTTAATATTTTTGTGAAATCCATGATACATTTTTAGTTCAGTATTTATTTTCAGCATTTATTTGAAATCAAAACATTTCATAATGTAGAAGTCTTTACTGTCACTTTTGATCAATTTAATGTTAATTTCGTTCAAAAAAATAAATTTGACCTAAAGGGAGGGGAAGATTATCGGTGAATAATGACTCAAATTTGTGTCTGTTCACACAAAAGAACACTTGTAATATAGTATACAAATTGTATGGACTAATTTTAATTATTTATGTCATTTTTTGGAGCTTGACATATTAAAGCTATAGTTGTTTGGCAAGACCTCTGTCATGAATTTTCATAAATGTTTACTTTTGAGTTCCACTCAGCAAATGGGTCTGGAATTACATCATTTTCATTTTTGGGTGAAGTGTCCCACGAATTCAATAGTTTAACATTGAGTTGTATTAAAGTCTGGCATCAAAATGCTGAACTAGCCTTCATGTTTTTCTGAGAGAAACCAGAGCAAAGCAGCTCGTCCAATCGAATTCCAGCAAACATCCTACACTATCTGAAGTGGACTGGACATGATGACAGTGTAATGCAAGCAGCCTCAAATGAACATTAATGAGAAACTGCATTTGGTGGTCAGGGAGACGAAAAATAAACGAAGCAGATATTCTAATTTGAAGACTTCTTCTCTGTTCTTAGCCTAAGAAAGACTGCATGTGAAAAGGAAGTTAATCTCAGTAGTACACAAGAGAATCTGCCTGAAAGGGCAAGACAGCAGGTGGCTGTGTTTTTTTAAATTGGACTTCAGACAAATTCACACTATAATCTGCATGAAAATTAAGACACTTTTTTTGCCTTACGACGATGATCATCCACAGCAATAGTTAATTTTCCTGCCGAGGAGTGATAAAAAAGAAGCACATGAAATTCAATCGAGCAGTTGCTCTTTTAAATACAACGTTTCCCAGAATTCCCAGTGGGCACAGGAGAGAAACTTACAACAATAGGCCTTTCATATTCAGATGTGAATGGCGAACTTTTGCAGCAACAGTTTGAATTGGAAATATGTTTTTCGGTTTCGTCCTTGATGGAATCTATACGTTGCCATGTATTTCCTTAATGATTCCTACCAAAAAACACAATTCAAACACAAACAGCTCGTCACTCAACATCAGCACGGTGAAAGATTAAACTGCTGTCATTGGATAGCATGTCACCTGTTCTCCTGACCACCTGATTCATCTCTCTTTATGAAGCTAATCCCTGTTTACCCCAAGACAATGTGATTCTCCGCCCTCTCCTTCTCTCCAGCACCAGTCAGTCCTGCCTCCCAGCTGATGCTCATCTCTTGAAGAGCTTCCAGGCACAAGGGTGCTATTCATTAGGACCTTATTACAACCTCATCTCAATCCCACTGAAGTTCCAGCGCAACTCAAGGCTATTGAGACCTTCAACACCGAACTCTTAACGGTGTTCTCGCCATCACCGCGAGTGCTTAAGAAGACTTGGGCTTCAAACCTCTCTTTAACCACCTCTTGCTTGAGATCTCTATTAGAGGAACGAGGGTTTAATTAGCACTGATGCTAATAATGAGTCTTGAGTTTTAACGTAGGGCTCTTCCTCCTCCCACGTTAAAGCAGGAGAGGCAATAAACACAGTGAATGTTATTTCAAAAGAGGTCGTTTTCTCTTTAATTAGATTTGTGTGTGTGTGTGTGTGTGTGTGTGAATGGGTAGAGGCTTTATTTGCTTTGCTTTTTGTTGTCTACGTCCTCAAAAACCAGCCTTCTCCTCCTATACACTTTAGCAGAGAACTAATTTCATTTCCTTCGGCCCAGTCTGAAAAACAGTTTTCATCAGATAGCTGAGGGATTTGTCTTCCACACTGATGTATTCATCAATCTCAATGTGAGTTTTTTTGTGCAACCTTAAGTTACATCCAAATCCTAATGCATCTGTTTATTAAAGAGAGAAAATTGAAAATCTGTCTGTGTGATATGCTGGGATTTTTTTGCTCGGCGTGGACATAAAACAAGCTGGCAGATATTAATGGTTCCTCTCTTGACCTCATTCACCGGCGCGAGAGATAGGCTGAAGGGGCCGGAAATTATGAAAAATGAAACGGTGCTGCATCTGCTGCATGAACAGCACTTCCTCCACTTTCAAATTCATACACACACATATATGCTTCACTATCTGTTCCATGATAATGTATAATGGAAATTGGAGAAGAATCCGACAAGGCGGGTTCTCGGAGAGGTTTATGGAAAATAGATTGGTGGGGGAACAGATCCTTTAATTGGCCTAGCCTGGTGTCTGTCTTGCCTCTTTTTGGTCTTGCTTTAATAACAGTGAAAAGACCGCTAATGTCTTTCTTGATTAAATTCAACATGAAATAGAGTTCGCAACCTATTTTAGCTTCAGAATGTGATATATTTCACATTAAAATAAAAATAAAAATAAAGGGAGGGGCTTGATGCTATCCATTAGGAATTGATTGGATGGTGAAAAGTGCTCTCTATATGAGCGGCCCTTGGTTTGGGTGAACCGTTCACATGAAGTCCAAGATAATATACAGCATTTATCAATTAAACTGAGGTCAATTTAGATTAATTCAATTAAATTAAGTCAATTTCATGCTGATTTTAAGATTGTTAGAAAGTATGAATTTAAATATTTATGTTTTTGAATGTTTACAATCAAAAAGTTAAATAAATATATTAGATAAATATATTTTTACATTAAATGTAGCTTTTTAAGACTAAATCTACCTTACTGACCCACACTTCTGAAAATTATTAAAGGTTTATGCTCACCAAGGCTGTGCTTATTTGATAAAAAAATACAGTAAAAACAGTAATATTTTGAAATATTACTACAATTTAAAATAACTGTTTCCTCTTTTACAATGGAATTTATTCAGAAGCCATTACTCCAGTCTTCAGTGTCACGTGATCCTTCAGAAATCATTGTAATATGCTGATTTGGTGCTCAAAAACATTTCTTATTATTATTCATTTTAAAAACAGTTGTCCTGATTAATATTTTTCTGGATGCAGTGCTACTTTTTTCTTTGATGACTAGAAAGTTAAGAAGAACGTTCAGCACTTATTTAAAATAGAATTCTTTTGTTGTCATAAATGTCGTTACTGTCACTTTTGTGCAATTTATTACATCTTTGCTGAGTATAGTTATGAATTTCTTTCAGTTTCTTTCTTTCTTTTGAATGGTATTGTGTATATATAGGAACTTATTTTAAATATACAAGTGTTGATTCAAAAGTATCTAAAATGAAAGAAGTGCATTACTGATTGTGAAAACTATCAGTATATGTCTCACCTGGGCCATGGATGGGGAGTGCATGGGCAGCGGGTGGCTGCTGAGCTGCTGTTGTTGCTGGTGGAGACTGAGGTGCTGGTGTAAGGGGGGGCTGATCTGCAGCGGAGGGGGGGACGAGTCCGTCATGCTGCCCATGTTCACCACTCCTGGCATGGGAGCGTTGGGCCGGGATGCACCACCTCGGGCTAGGCCTGGCTGCATCGGGGGCAGGTGGGGACTGAGTCCTGGCTGCTGGTGGTACGGAGGAGCCATGTAGAGACCTGGGTGAGACTGGCCTGCCCCGGAGAAAACTGGTGGCTTGGGTCCGAGCATGTGAGAGGCCTGTGATGCCTTCACATCGCCTAGGTCATTGTAGCTCTAGAGAAAGTTAAAGAAGTGTTTTAGTTGTTGGTTGCATAAATGTTAAACAGGCTTCTTTGGATTAATCAAGAAATTTTAAGCACTGCTTTGTGTCAGTCTCTGCTTTTTAAATGCCTGATGAATGTTGTATGGCCTAAATTTTCTTTTAAAATTTATTTGTATATACTATACTAATAAATATTGATTTTAAAATATATATAAAATAAATTATATGAATGTACAGATTTGATCAATTTCAAATATATAAAATATATAAAATCTCAATTTTATTAATTTGTAGATTTAGATTTGTATATAAAAATATATAAAATACAAATATATATATATATATATATATATATATAATATTGGATTTCTTTGTATATTCCGCTCAATCCTGCTTGCAATATTTCCATTCAGGTTGCATGCCTTAAATGTTGCTATATATATTAAATATAGGATTTCTTGCAAGCTACGATAGCATGAGATTTTTTTTTTTCACGGCTTCTTCGGAATTTTTCCATTTAGGTGTGCAAAGGGAGTCTATTTATTACTCAAGCTGTCTCAAAAACATCTCTAAACTGCCAAACAGGAACATCTCGAAATGTCCCTTCTTAAACGTCACTGTTTTAAAGCATGTACCCATATCAATAGCCCAGAGTCATTTACCTGAGACACGAGGCTCGCTCTGTATGCAGCCAGCTGTTTGAGGTACTCCTTCTTTGCGGTTTCTGTTTTTTTCTTGTACATCTGCCATGATAAAATAAACAAACAAAGAAAAAATATATATATTAAGAGGCCAAAGCTGTTCTTCATGTTCCTGTGCACAATTATTCTTAGAAATGGGATCTAATGGCAGTCCATTTATGAGCCATAATGCGTAATTGTTGTTGGAGCACTGAAATGGTGCTTAAGTGCAGCCCACTTTATCCATCGCTTGTTCTTCTGCCTTTATGGACTGTCCATATTTCCCATAATTCTTTCAGTTGAGGCATATGTGTAATTATTTGCCCATCAATACATCTGTGCTGTTATTACCTCAACCAATAGACCTCTACTAAAAAGACAACAGAAGAAGATAGATAGAGAAAGAAAAAAAAACAGCAGAGAGACGTGATGTTCTTTTATCAGGCAAACATCCTCTCCTGAGTAAAAGTACTTTTAAGTGTTTTCATGAGCTTCACCGGCTGAGTGTTTTACATAGTGAAAAGAGCACAAAATAAATTATTACAAAAAAGAAAACAGCTTTTCATGACTGTAGATGCTCTCTGTTGGCTTTGGTGAGAGAAATGGGTACTTTCAGTTGTGTTTATTCTGAAATCAGAAGCAGCTTTCGTAGTCATGTCATTCTTCACACCTAAAAAACAGTCTAGGTGTTAACATAAGTGCTAATCCTTTTTATCGTCACTGCTTTCAATCTGAAAAGGAACCTTAATGAGGATAAACTTTTCAAGGGTATTTACTGTACTACATAAGTGCTAATATAACACTTTGACATACACATTTGTTGTAATGCAGAGCAAATGAAAAGTAATTGTTTTTTGACTGCATGATCTAATGTGTACCTTTAAAAGTACTCAAACTGAAAATCCTTTTGTCATTCCAATTCTGTCTTTCTATCTTTTGTGGAACACAAAAGCCGATATTTTGTTTCACTGTTTTTTTTGTCCATACAGTTAAAGTCAGTGGGTTCCAGTGTTGTTTTGGACCCCATTGACTTTCATTACATGAACAAAAACAGCTGAAATGTACTTCAAAATATCTTACTTTGTATTGTTTAGTAATTTTGGGATAAACTATGCATTTTTTGTTTTAGTTTCTTGAAATGTTTTAAGTACTGAACTATTAATGATGGACTATTAATTTCAAATAGTCTTAAGTAACTTGAAGATCAACTTTTAAACCTTTTCAGAATACAATAAAAAAATGCTGAAAACAACAATGCTGTAGCATACTACATTACAGACTGTATTCATGCCAAATGTGTACCGAAACTTGATAAAGCGACTAGCAGACCTCACAAAACCTTTGTTTGTTATGTTCCAATAAAAAAAAAAAAAAAAATCTCACATATTGCACTGTTTTCACACCTGACTTTAAGACTTCCCCTACATGCACACCCATGCTGATGTTAGACCACAACACCACTGCGGAGGCAATGTTATTCTCCGATTGCACAAGGGGAAATCAACAAATGTTCTGACCAACATGTGCATCATTGCATCCGCTGTTATAACGAATCTTTATGTGGATATACTGTTGTATATATTGTACATAATACCTTAGCTAATAAAGAAAACGTGCTGCGTGTATAGAAACACAGTAA